AAGATGCCTTAGCCGCTGGTGGCAGGGGACTTGCAGGAGGTGCTGAGGAAAGTCTGCAGCCTTTGCCCTGACAGTTCCTAGAGCCAGCCGGAGTCGTTGACATGTCGGAGCTACTTTCATTGGTCCATAAAGTGCCAATCAAATGTCTTCAAAAACCAGACATTTGTACTAAATACCTACCAACAAATGGAAGTAGGTCAATATCTAGATGCATCACAAAAGGAATTCTTTCTCCAGCGTGGTACTTCTTTCAGCGCAGTGTTTGTTACTTCACTTGTAAGAGCAATGCTGTGATGTCGTAAACCAGGTAATGTGAAGACATAGGGCTAAACTAAAGGAAAAGCAGAACAACAAAACTCCTCGTCATCTAGTTGGGATGCCAGAGTAGACATCTACGTCTAGGACAGAGCAGAAATGCGCTTCTGAGTTTCTGAGACCAAATCTTTTGAGTAGTAGACAAGGCAGCAACCCTCTCCCACATGCCCACCCACACTTCATCCCACCACTTAATCCTGTGTGCCACAATGGACCAACAGTAAAGAGACTGTGAGCACACTGCTTGCGTTTTACTAACAAGTAACCTAATCACGTTGCTTTTAAAAGCTGAAGCTCTAGTTTGGGGACAGGTTTTTAAAAGCTGTGCATCAGATGGTAGCATTAATTTCTTTCATTGATCTCATTTTAAAAATCAAAGACCTGCAGAGTAAAGTGACTAGGAGTCTTTCTGATTCAGTAGAAGAAATCAGATCTCTGAAGTTAGAGATGAAAGCTCAGTGTGGCCAGAAGTGGAGATTTTTAGCCGAGTTGATGGAGACTGTTTGAACCTGAAAATTGTGCTTGGCTATCTGTCTTGCTAGAAGTCAGGGCGAGATAAAGTGTAATCTGGCTCTGATTTCTGTGGCAAAGAAAACACTGCAATGGCTGCTCATTTATCACAATACCCAGCCTTCCCCTCCTCCACCTCGGTTTAATTGACAGTGTTACACCAAGCTGCTTGTGTCTTCCCCCCACTGGTGGGGATAACACAGCTTAAGAGAGAGTGTTCTCACGGCTAAAATTTAGTGTGTAAAGAAATCATAAGAAAGAAATGTAGGAAGTGCTTATAAAAGCTCTGCTGCCAGGAAGACGTTTAAAGGAGCTTCAGAGTTCTATGATGACTCATTGAATTCCCCCTCTGAACCGACTATGTGGTCAGTCTGCGTGTGTAGGTTCCCTAACGAGTAATAGCTATTTAAGAGATCTGTTAAGAAACTTGGAGGAGGCTTCAAAACATTTCCAGAACATGGAATTAAAAGATAGTGGATTGTTCCACAAACTCTGTGAAACCCACTTATATTTGCAGCATTGTTGCTTAAGTAATGTGAAAGGATGTCTATTCCAGTGGTTATTATGAACATTAAAATGATCAGATCATTTTATTTCTAGTCCATGATTATTTTGGTCTAATAAATACTGAATCAATGTATTTTGCTAATAGATTACTAAATCTCCAAGAGCAAAAAATAACTAGTCTGTGCTTATATTAAAACAAAACCTCAATAGGAACCATGTACATAATATTAAAGAACAAACATAAGATGCCTTTTTTGTTGTCTAATTGACAAGGATGAGCTGCGGCGACTGTCGAGGCCATTCTCACTCATACGGGCTCTATGGAGCGTGTGCCATTTCAGCTGTTCCAGAGGGCTTTCAAGACTGTCTAGCTTTACCAAAAACTGTCCATCTTTCCCATAGCACAGTCTCATCGTTCTCCCTCGGAGTGGGTGGTGGGTTCAAACACAGACTTTGCAGTACTTCTTGACCCAGAACCCATTGCACCACTTTTGACCAAGAACATGATAGGATAATAGCCATACACATACAAGCAAGATTATCAAATTTATGCACCAACCACTAATGTCAATGATAAAGAAACAAAAGAATTTTCACTAACTTTGCAGTCTGAAATGATCAAACATGTAATCAAGATGCGTTGATTATTCTTAATTATTGGTATGTGAAATTTGGAAACAAAGAACAAGGATCCAAAAACCTGCTGTCATTGAGCCCATTCTGATTCTTAGAGACCCTATTTCCAAGGCTTTGTAAATCTTTATAGGAGCAGACAGCCTCGCCTATCTTGCACTGAACAGCTGGTGAGTTTGAACCATTGACCTTGTGGCTAGCAGTTCAATGCTTACCTAACCACTCCACCAAGATTCCTGAAGGTAGGATTAGTAGTTGGAAAATATGGCATTAGCAACAGAAATTATGATAGCCATCACTTGATAGAATTTCACAAAACAACCTGTTTATTGCAAATACTTTTTTGCAACATTAACAGCAACTATAAATGTGGGAAACACAGGATAGACTACACTGGGATCAAATTGATTACATTTGTAGAAAGAGAATGTGGAGAAACTCAGTATCATCAATTAGCATAAGACCAGGATTCGACAACAGAACCATCAATTGCTCACATGCCAATTCAAATTTTAGCTGAAGAAAATTAAAACAAATCCACCAGGGCCAAAGTAAAACCTCGAGTATATCTCACTTACTTAAACAGAGGGACCATCTCAGGAGAGCTTTGATGCTTTCGCTGAAGACCAGAATACTTATGGGATCGTGTCCAGGACTTTGTGCATGAAGGCAGAAAAGATAACTACGAAGAAAGGGAAAATAGGAGAATAAAATTGATGACCAAAAGAGATTCTGAAACTTGCTCTTGAACAAAGAGTAACTAATCTGATTGGAAGAAATGATAAAGTAAAAAGAAGAAGAAGAAGAAGCTGAACAAGGATTTCAATGTTTGGCTTAAGAAAACAAAGTAAAGTGTTATAATGAAATATGCAGAGACTTAGAGTTAGAAAATCAAAAGGGATGAACATCCTCAGTATTTCTCAAGCTGAAAGATTTAAGAAGGCAAGCCTGAGGATGAAATATTGAAAGATTCTACGATAGGCAAAATATTGACCAATGCAGGAAGCACCAAAAGAAGATGGCAGAGTTACAATATTCCATCAAGAGCTAGCATATGATCGAGAACAAGCCGCACCAAACGCACTGGCAAAATGAAAACGGAGCTTCCAGGAATAGACCGAATGCCGGCTGAAACGTTGCGACCAACTGCTGTGGTGCCAGAGGGAGGAGGAACAGGGAGTTCATAGTGATGGAAACATCAAAATAATTAAGGGTTGAGTTTTGCACAATCAATCATTATCCTTGCTGTCGTTAAGTGGCACATCTGTGCAAAGCTGAATGGGCAAATGTTATGTGATAGATATATTTCAAAGGATTGAGAAAAATTAAGCTTAGGTACTGATGTGGCTGGTGTACCCCCCAAAACTGCATGGTATTTAATTATTTAATTTGGAGGTTTAGGGTCATGGTCTCAAGTGACGTCCAGTTAATAACATGCCCAGTGCTTTTTGTTCTGCTTATTAGTTCAATGCATTTTGCCTGGGATCTTAAAAGCTGGACAGTGGCCTGCAAAGGCCCAATAAGTGGTCTCTCCACACCTGAAGCAACAGAGTAAGAAGGAGAGTCAGAGATCAGAGGAAGGTATAATAGGAGGAGGTTATGGGATATGTAGCTAATTGCCTCCATGAACAACCCCTCTACTTTGCCATGAAACTAACTGAAGGAATGGGAGGGTGCCTGGCTATCATTACATAATATATTGATCAAATATTCCATAGAAGATCGTGATCCAATGGAGAAAAATTCAGAGCAGAGTTTCAAATTCATATAAACTAAAGACTTCCTGGAACCATGAGGTTGGATGACCCCTTGAAACAATAGCCCTGACGTGGGTGTTAAACCTCACGTCGAAATATTCCCTGAAGGCTTCTTAAAACCACACAGTAATCTATAATTGTAAAATATGTCTTCTTTGGCATGATGCTCTTTTAAGAACTATCTTTAAAAAACTATCTATATGGGATCAAGTGGATAAAAAAAGCTCCAAGGATTTGGTAGAAACCTTATGGGACAGTGAATTTGTGTTAATGAGGAAGGAACAGCTCAAAAAAGGAGGGTGGGCACGGTCACACATTCGCAGGATGCAATCGAGGTCTTTAAGTGGTGCATATGAAGAAACCCTTGGGTCAATGTGTGCTCTGCTATCTACATTCCTGAGGGAGGAGGACCAAACTCACTGCCATGGAGTCGATGACCACAACTCATAGTGACCCTATAGGACCTTCCCAATGCCGTGACCCTTTCAAACAGTTCCTCATGTTGTTGTGACCCCCCCAACCATAAAATTATTTTCATTGCTACTTCATAACTGTCATTTTGCTACTGTTGTGAATTGAGACCCCTGTGAAATGGTTGTTCAACCCCCAAGGGGGTGTGACCCACAGGTTGAGAACCGCTGCTCTCGGACAAGGTGAAACAGCAGGTGCATTTTTGAGACTGCAGCTCTTCATGGGAGTTGAAGGCCCCCCCTTTCTCCGTGGAGCTGCTAGTGGTGGTGAACTTTTGCTCTTGCGATGAGCAGGCCACTGTGCAGCTACGACCCCATCAGGGCTATATTCCCAAGGGAAAAAAGGAAAGGAAACTATTGTGGCTTTTTTTGTTTTTGTTTCTGTTTTTGTTTTTAGAAATAAACTTGCTTTATAATCAATATCAACATTTATAATCAATATCATCATTGTGCTTTTAAATCTAACAGGACACCTGGGTCCCTCCAATTCCCTTTGGTCTTGGAGGGAGGGGGGCATTTAAAGCAGTGCGTGGGAGCAGGAGGGACCCAGGGCCAGCAGTGCGGGGGAGGAGGAAGTATACTTTGGAGTGACTGGTTCAGCCCTGAGAGGGGGGTGCAAAGTGAACTCAGGGTGGTTAGGGAAGCCAGGACGCCCAGAGAGGAGGGGAGGGAAACTATTCCCTGCGCTGCTTCCACCCTGAGAAGAGATTGGGAGTGGGGCTGGTTGTCCCCCTCGATGGATCAAAAGGTCACAAATCTCCAGGACCCAATTACAGAGGCAGAAGTTGGAGGCGGAGGTGTGGCCGTGTTATTCGGTGTACTTGGAGTAGAGGGAGTGCAGCTGGTCCCAGAAGAAGAGGGAGAGGATGGTGTGGGGACCCAGGTGGAAGTAGGAGGCCCCTATGCCCTTGTACAGGCCCCAAATGCCTTCCGTTCGAGCTGTCTGCAGCAGAGCATCCAGAATCCCTCGGTACATGAGACCCTTGCCCCCACCGTCTGTGGGCTGGTTGTAGAGTCTTGTACTGGCTATGTCAAAGGGTGTCATGGCCAGGACCACCACAATGCCACTCACCATAGCTGCAACCAGAGCCACCTTCCAGCTCTGGGAAGGAAACACCTCCCATTGGCTGATGAGGTCCTTGGTAGAGGAGAAGGTGCACAGCTGGGCAGAGGAACCAATGACAACTCTGGGCAGGCCGCCCAAGGACCCCCGCCACAACCCCACCCGACCATGTTTTTGGCCAATCTGTGTTAGCGCCTGAAACATGCCCTGGTGGGAGGAAGGCCATGGATAGGGTTCAGTCACCCCAGCAGCAAGAGCACCACCACTTAACCATTTTAATTACAAAAAAAAAAAAAATAGCTTCCCAAATATTGCTTGAGGATGTGTGAATTGGAAGAACCTAGAAATGACTTTGAAAGGTCTATTCTTTTGAACCCTGGGAGAATGTCTTGAAGGAAAGAATTAAGTATATGCCCAAGGATTTTACTTCAGGAATATTGACAATGCCAATGAAAACAACAGAAAATTTTTAAAACATGGAAATAGCAAACATGCACAACTTCAGAAGGGGTACCATTCGGGAATTCCTGGATTTCGCTGCTCCCTGCTCAGGTCTAAATGAGTGAACACAACAGGGAGCCACTCTGTCTGTAATGGGAAGCGATGGCATCCGGAATGTCAGGAGCCCTCAGGGCCTGGGCACAGCTGGCACAGCGGTGCTTTCTAGTAACCGGTATATGAAATTAGCACATGTCCTTTTCATTCAAAAATGAAAATAAGCACTCCTTACATGTGAATTATTTGACAGATATTTAAATAAAAATAGAATTTTCAAAGGTAGCTGTTGGTAAAATGAGTTTGCTATTTAGTCAATACCTAATATCTAAAGAGGAATTGTTACCAATGAGTATATAAACTGCATTTGTCTGAGATTATCCGATGTATTGAAGAAACAGACAATAGGATCCTCTCACAGGGAAATATGGCACAGGACAAAGTTAAAAGGCACAGACACATTTTTTAAGTGTGAGATGTTTAGGGGGTGTTTTTTGCTTTTTGCTTTTCATTTCCTTAAATTCTAGATGGTGGCAAAGCATTGTTATGTGTAGAACACAACTTAGTAATTCAATAGAATTGTAACAACAACGTGGGTCTAATTCTGTGATAATAAACATCTTAAGGATTTGTATTATTTTTGCTTTTGTCATTATTTATTAAAGTGCATAAGTCATTGTCATAGGCTTAGTAATAATTTTGTCCTTCAGAGATTTTCATGATGACTGCATTTGTTCAAACACATAGAATTTGGATTGATACCATAATACCATTCATTAAAACGTCATTTTGCACACAATGGAATAACTTCCCATCTTACAGTATACCACTAACTGATCAAAGATATCTGTGCTTAGAGAAAAAAAACCAAAATCTACAGTACTAACACACACACAAGATATAGCACACAATAATAGCTAATATCTACTGGCCACTTACCGGTTGCTTTGGGACCAACTGACCAAATTTGTGGAAGTAGAAGAATAACAGGACCTCTCTTCCTAAGTGGCTTTGAATAGACCTGAATCACTAAGTTTGGGGGGGTTTTTAAAGAGGAAGGTGGGGGTGGGTTATCAAACAAGTTAACGGTTTACACCACCCAGGGACTCCATTGGCCCTTAAGAGCAAACAAACATTGGCCTCAAATCAATTCCACTTCATAGTGAGCCCATGTGTCGTTTCAAAGGCTCTCCTTGGCTAAGATCTTTCTGGAAGCAGATCACAAGGCCTTCCCTCCATAGCAATGCTGGGCACATCCTAACCACTGACCTTAAGTCACCCTAGTGCGAGCCAGGGGCCTTATTGGACACTCAGAGCATGCTAATTGCTTGTTTTATAATTGCTTCATCTTCCAAATCCTCTGAAATTAGAAGAGGCTAATATGCCTAAGTTCATAGAATCAGAAAAACAAAAAATCATAATTGAAATGACCCATCCTCAGCTGCAGACCAAACTGTGCTATTCTGCCTCTCGTTTCTCTCCCACCGCCAGGGCCCTGTAATAAAGGGAGGGTCACAGGAACCTAAGGGTCCCATTCTATTTCAACCCTGCCGATAATAGAGTCAGCAAGATTAACTCTTTTACTAAGAGCACAAACTTCATAAAATAACTTGGCACAAATAAACACCACTAAAGTCCTAAAAGTGATGGAGGTGGGGTAGGAATAAAACATTATCCAATATCTTATTTGCATATTTACAATTTACACATACAGTCTGACCAATAAGATGGAAATGAGGATGAACAAGGGCCATGTAAATATAAAGTTCCCAAGGACTTACATGTTCCTTGACACCTAGAAGATTCCATTAAATGTGAATAAATAAATGGAAACAAATGCTGAGGGGCAGGACAATGGGCTTGACTTGTTGGGGGTATTCATAACATTAATTCATATACTTGAAGAAACTCCTGCTTGGAAAGGAAGAATCTCTATTGTTGCTACTTTGAATATCGATCAATTTATTGATTTGATCATTTCAATAAATATTTTTCGACACATGCAAATACCACCTATTCAACTGCTGTAGAATCAATGCTGACAGTGTTAGTCTAGGTAGACTAGAGAAACAAGTCCAGAGACACTCATATGTGTGTAAGGGAGAGTGTTATATCAGAGTAATTGTATATTAAGAAAACATCCCAGCCCAGTCCAGATCAAGTCCATAAGTCTGATATTAACCCATATGTCTAATATATTCCTCTTCAAACTATAAATTCCTCTTCAGACTCACACAACACATGCAATGATGCTGAATGCAGGAAGATCACAGGCCTGTGGGTGGAAAATCTTGTGGATCCAGTGGTGGTGGAAGAAGTATCACCAGGGCTCTGGCTGCCATCACATGGCTCCATGTGGCTTGTCATCAAGAATGTGTAGCAGAGAAAAAGTGTGTCCTGCCTCCCGGAAGGAAGACAGGAAGTCCTAGAATCCTCATGAGAAGGCCACACCCACAAGGAGGGATTATCGGGCTGTGACCTGATTGACAGGTTAGACTCCACCCCTTCATTCTTATTTACCAAATTGACATGAAATTGTGTAACTACCACACTGACTCCTAGCGACCCCATAGGATTGAACTGCCCTGTGAGTTTCTGAGATTGTGACTGTTTAAGTCTTGTTTTTCCCTGTAATACTACCCACAGAAGTAATAAACCAAAATCTATAATTTAACAAAAATGTTAAAACATTTCAATAATGATATTAAATTAATTTAATCAAAGTCTTAGAAACATTTCATTGGAATCACTAATTTAATAAAAGTGGTATATTGAATTGCTACAGATAAGTCACACAAATTATCATAGAATTATCAAATGTCTTAATATATTTGAATAAATCAAAATGTATTTATACCATGAAGAATATACTTCTCCATCATGCCTATTTTTATTTTTGTTTTAAAAATATTTTCCTTACATTCTGGACAGACAACACTAAAACTATTTTGTAGCCAGTACCTTCGGCCAATCAGAACTGGATGCCTATAGTACTGCAGCAAGGTTCTGGGTTCATGTATCCTCCCAGGGTGCTCTTGCAGAAACCTGTGAGTAGTTCAATCAGGTGAGCACAAGGGAAAGGACAAGAGAGGGTTGAGGCATGGCAAGACTGGAGTATGTCCCAACCTGAATGAATATATTTCATTTTTAACTGCTGGTACAGCCATCCCCAAGAGTCCTGGTGGCACAAGCAGTTAGGTCCTGGGCTGCTAACCAAAAGTTGCTAGTTCAATCCCATCCAGTGGCCTTGCTGGAGAAAAATCGGATGCCCTGATTCCATAAATATTACATCCAAGGAAGCCTTACAGGGCAGTTCTGATGTGCTGTACGGACCCCTGTGAGTCAGGATCTACTCAATGCACCCAACAATAATAGCAAACAGCTGCCCCCTTACTTATCAGCTGAGCACCAGCCCAGCTGACAATGAGAATATAGAACAGAGAGTGGGAAAAACTATTTTCTCTGCCTAGCAAAGTTAATCTGGGTCATTAACTAATTCATGCTACTTTGGAGCACAGTGCCTATTTATACTCTCCAAGAACACTTCAGCCAAAGATGATCTAATGGGGTCTCTTTTGATGGTTGGATTTGGCAAACAGTAACTTTCCAGATTATAAAGATCTGTCAAATTAGATCATTTTTATATGATCCTGTGTAGAAAGACTGGGCTTTCTACTCCCATAAAGAGTTACAGTCTCAGAAACCCACAGAGGTAGTTTTACGCTGTCCTGTAGGGTTGCTATGAGTCAGAATCAACTGATAGCAGTGAGTTTATGAACTATATGCTTAATTTTTAGGGTTTTTAAATTTTTATATCTTTAATGTCGCTTTATCATCATTATATAACCTTATTTTTATCATTGAGCGTGAGGTGGTTGTGTTAGGCTAGCCCTGTAACACCTGAATTTTTTATTTCAGGGAAAAAAATTTTTTTGTTTTTATTCTTTACTTTCATAGTTATCAATATATATAATAACCAAAATATATTTTAAAAATATAAAATTTGCAATGTTTTTAAATGTAACCAAATTGTCACATTCATCCATGGATTTATAATACAAGAATAAAAATTGGAACCTCATTTCTATATGATTTTTCATCTTATTTTATTTTTAAATAAAAAAACTGAAAAGTTATTTTATTTATAAAATAAAATACAAAATTTATTTGTTTATAATTTTAGTTAGTGTGAAATTTAACAAAACAATTGTTTTCTTTTCTGATACAAAGATGAGCTTTGCATTTGCTGCAGAAAAATACTGGTGCACTCTTGCAATTTACATGTTTGCATCTTGCTCTGTTTGTGACCTGAGGGTAACGGTGAAGACCATCCACACGGGTGTCTCTTCCAGGGAGGCTTTGGTGGCAGGACCTCTGCTCTTTCTGTAGCAAACTCAGCATCAGTAACGCTGGTAGAAGGTCTGCCTCTGTTTGCTGGTCTATTACTTTTTCCTTCAAGAAGAAGAGCTCTGGCGATGCTCATGTTGAACTCTTGCAGACTTTGGATTTTTTTTTTTTTTTTTGTAACTGAAGGCTCTCACGGTCTCTACGATAAAGTAGCCAAGAGTTCACAACAGTCACATCTATAAAATGAAAAAATAACTTGTGACGATCTTTTTTTGATCTGATGTGAATGCCGTATAGTGCAATTAGCGAGCCTGTCAAATCAAGCAGTGTACCCCAAAATTGCTCAAGTTCCTGGCTACTCAGTGCAAGAGGTTTATTGGGATTTTGCTGGATTGCACGAAGATTTGATTGGTCGACAATATGAGTAATGATACCCTTCGAGACAAAATGTCTAAAATATTCAACAGGACGTCTTACTACCCCAGAAGAATCTATTCAGGCACAGGTCTAGCTGTATCGTCTCCAGAAATGTGCCGCCAAAGAGGAACTCTTCGATTTCTTGATGTAGATGGCTTTGAACTTGTAGCTATTGGAATTGATTCTTCAACTTCAACAACTGAAGTTTCTAACTCATCCTCACTAGTATTATCATTACTAACTATGAGGTCTTCTCATTCATCCAAATCAAAATAATTGGTTGTATATTCACTTCCTATCATGGGAAAAATAAATATTGTTATCAAAATAGTTTGAATAGCAATATAATTTAAAATTTACATTGTAAAATCAAAATTTTTAAATAATAATACACACTTTATTTACCAATTTCATCCATATTAGCACCTGGTTCCTTGTCTGAGTCTGTACCGCTTCTATCTAGGTCATAAATTCACCGTTTTCCATAAAATCACAATCCATGCTGCGGTAAATTTTGTCACCGTGGGTTCAAAAGACGAACGTAACAAATTCATTACGTTTTGAAAAAGCGGAAATAAATAATAAATTTAATGGTTTTTTATGAGTATTACACCTTTGACATAAAAACTACAGTTTTATGAACATATACAAAAAAATATCAACACTAAACCTTCACTAGATTGAAAATTATCGTAAAACGCACTGAACGCCAGCGACCACTTACCCTCAAACGCACAGTCAAAACATGTGCCACTACTCAAGCATTTTGCCGCTAAAATGCATGACTAGCGGTATGCATTCGTACTAGTGAAGTACGACGATTCCGTCGACGTCATCGTCGGCTCCCAAAGCTTTATAATTTTGGTACCAGACACGTTTTAATTAAATGTTACGAAAACGTCACACTGGGCGTTATAGGGCTAGAACCCACTGAAAACTCTTTGATTCCGTTGCTTTTTTCTCATCAGTAATATAGATTTACAGTGTTGACCCAGAAGAGCTGGTTTAGAGGAGAACGTGAAGAGCTCAATTTGGGACATGATGACTAGGAGATATATTCATGTGATAATGAAAAGAAGACACAAAAATTATTAATATATAATACAAAAATTATCGATCAAATTCTAGCCAACAGAAACCACCAGCATATTAAAAAGATCATATATAATGACCAAGTAGGATTTATCCCAGGCATGCAAGGTTAATGCAACATTAGAAAATCTATCAATGTATTATAACATATTAATAAAAGTGTTCAAATCACATAATCATTTCGACATATATGGAAAGATCATTTGACAAAACCCAATATGCTCTTGAGAAAAAAATATTAAAAATAAAAATAGGAAGTATCTTTCTCAAGCTAATCAAAACCATCTATAACAACACATAACTAATATACTTAATGGTGAAAGTATGAGAGAATTTGTCTTAAAATCTACAATAGAATAAAATTTAACACCTATTGTTTGATCTCCCCTTTGCCCCATTTTTAAGTTGTTCTAGTTTTTCATATATTCTCCTTTTTTTCTATCGAGGTTTTTATCTATTCCATTTTGTTATTTCTGTTAGCTGTGTTTCTTTGGTTTGGGAAGTCTTGTACGTTTTTCGGTGTATGAAATCCAGATGGGTAAGTCTATAGACACAGTACCTGGACCCACGGTTTCATGAGGGTATGGCAGGGGAGGTTAAAGAGAGAGGGAAAGCTAATAACAAGAGTATAAGAAAGAAAAAACTGTTCTAACCTTGATTGTAATAGTGATTATATAACTCTTCTTGATATGAATGAACTATTGACTTGTGTGATATGTGGATTATGTCCCAAAAAAACCTGTTTTTAAAAAAAGAAGTAGAATACGCGGATATTCCATGTCACCTACTTCTACTAAAATGGTTCTGGGGCTTCCAGCCAGGGCATTGAGTTAACTATAAAGGAAGAAGACACAAGAAAATGCATTCCTAATCTTTAAGAATTAAATTTAGAATAAAGAGCTCTTGTTGAATGTCATAGAGGAAAGCATGAATTTAAACCTTCAAAAATGGGTGAGATCAATAAAGTTAAAAGGAAGAAATAAAATCAGAATCAAAACCTTGAGGAATTCTCATCATTAGGTGGCTTGTGATATGGTACAATAAGACAAGTTATCAAAGATAATGTGAAGACAACCTAAAATGTATAACATCACAGACAGAATCCAAACAAAGGATAATTTTTGATGGATAAATGATACAGTACTATTTGAAATGACCAAAGAGGAGAGTTAATAACCTAAATATATCCATCAATCAGCAAGTGCTTAAATTATGTTTGGTACTGTAATCCCATAAAATATTTTGTGACCATTGGAGTGAGTTAATCTATATAGCTACCATAGAAATGCAAGCCATATCACTGAATTTAAAACTAAAGTGCATATGTATATTAATGCATACTTATATATACATGTTATGTAATCTACATATATATTGTTGGAGCAAATTAGTGGTGAAAGAATTCTTTAAAGTGTTAACCAACCAAAAACCAAGATATGACTTTGAAGTCTACAGTGTGCATGACCCAAGTCATACTATTTTTGATAGCGTCTTATGCATGTGATAAAGAATATCAAGAAGAACTGATATCTTTGAATTATGGTTTTGGAGAATAATATGAAATACATCATGAGCTACCAGGAAAAAAATGAACAAAGCTGACTTAGCAGAAGTACAGCCAGCAAGTTTCTCAGAAATGAGAATGGTAAGACTGTGTCTTATATACATTGGACGACATGTTATTAGGAGGGGCCGGTCCTTGGGGGAGAATATGGTGCTTGGTAATGTAGAGGGTCAACCAAAAAGGGATAGACCCTAGATGAGCCAAGAGTGATACCAGGGATGCAACAATGGGCTCAAATATTACTATTGTGAGCATGGACAAGGCCTGCCCAGTGTTTTGCTCCATTGTATGTATGATTCGGAACTGACTTGATGGCACCTAACTACCACTAAGAGAGAGAGAGAGAGAGAGAGAGAGAAGCAGGCAGACAGGGAAGGAGAGAGCTAAATAGATAAATGAATGTGTAAGAAGAAAAGCTTATAAAAAGAAAGAAAAGCTTTCTGTAATGCATATAACTTGGTGTACCTGAAGATTGAGCACCATTACATTCCCACATGAGGCTGGTATGTTTCCTTCTGCAATACTAAAGGTTGCCATGGTCAAACAACTAGACAATAATTAACAACATGTTGATAAAGCTGCTAAAAATTGAAATCTTGTCATAATGTGTTTACTTTGTGTTTGTTTTCACTTAATACAATATATACGCCATTTGGGCTTTTGGAGAAATAGTTTGGTCTGCTCAATTTTAACACTTTTATAGATTGTTGATTGCTTTCCATCTTCCAGCGCACCAAATTACATAATATGCGTATATATGCTAGATATGAGTGCAAGAACCTAAGTATTTGGTGTACCTCAAGATTGGAGAAAAGAAGAGACATTGAGAACAGGACGAAGTAGGACTTTGATATTTTGCTAAAGATGCTTGCTGCTTTGTTTGAAGTTTTTATCATCGGAATACGTATATTATGTACTTTTGTGAAAAGGCACAGAGAAACCAAAGTAGATGTAACCAAGGAAAATACCATTATTATGTTTTCATTAGAAAGCTGTGAGTGACCTTTAAAGTGTCCTGTAAGGAAAGAATTCTGATTGTCAAGAGGAGAGCAGGTCGCAGTAGAGAATCACAGACATGGCTTCCTCAGGATTTTCATCTGCGCCTGAAAGACTACAGCAAGCAGGTGACACGCAGACTCTTTCACAGTCGTGTCCCTGTGGACATCCTGTAATCCCGTCAGACCCTCTCAGTCAGTCACCAGGAAGCTTTTTGCTGGAGTTGTGAGACAAAGACATTTCCTCTTTGTCCTCCAAGGCTAGGTTAAACATGGGAGGAAATGTGTTTGGACCTCAAGCAGCGATTCTGATCCCATTTGGAGTTTGATTCAAAAATCAACCCAGTGGAAGGCAGAGGAGAAACTTGAGATGGGTTCCGATGGTTGATGTATACTCTAAACCTAACTGTACGGAACCAAAGATATCCTTGAACTTTCACCTGTAAGAGTCAATAAATCACACTTCTCAGCTTAAGTCAGGATAAGTTTTCTATCGCTTGTCACAGAAACGGCTTAGACCAGCTAATGGATGTATATAATACATCTGGAAAACTTACACACTGTCAAAATAGTGTAAGAAAAAAACCTAAGAGTATATTTTACATTTTTAAATGTACTGTGTTCATTAATTTCAGTATCTGTCTCATACGTTTTCCCCAATACAACTCGTTAACTAACACTGAAATAACATGGGGTGTCTTGAATTTCACCTCCCCCCCTTCCCCTTCCCTCCTTTCTAAGAGATGCGTTTAATGAGTAGTGAAAAGTCCCAAAAGGTGAATGAAGTGACCTAGATAATCAATCCCAAAAGCTGAAACAGTGAACAGTGAAAAATATTTAGTTCAGAGGGTAAAAAGTTACCTTCTTCATCGGGTTATTCTGCCTAGCATACGACTGAAGAGGGGATAGTAGATTTTCTTTTGAATGTCATCATTTGAAATATTCTATCAATGGGTAAGCATCTATATAATAAACATAAATCTGCTTCTATATCATTTTAGAGGACAAATTATGAATTCATAAAACTATAGAATTACATTGGCTTTATTTCATGTTTCATACCATACATTAATATAATAGTGTAGTATGTGATCCATACAAATGGCATGTCAACAATATATATGTAAGTTATGAAACACATTAAAAAATGAACACATAAATCCTATTGTCCCATGTAAATTCCAGAACATTTCCACACCAATTAATTGATCTTTTTTCTCTCTTAACCACATCACCCTACTATTCCCCTCCCCGCAAAAATCATTCTTCTGAAACTTGTGTTCAATATTTCCTCATTTTTCTCTAGAATTTCATTATGTATCTATATATAAAGAACCATCTCAGTAGGGACCTATCCTCAGGAAAGACCAATCATTAGAAAACAACAATAAATTTGACAAAGTAACAGACTACTGAAAGCAAGGAAACTTTCCATGAGCGAACTGGACGAAATAGCCACAACAATACACCATGACGGGCACACAGGAGGCCCCTGTGGTCAACTGACTAGACAACAATTAACATATGGATAAAGCTACTAAAAATCAAAATCCTGTCAGGATGTGTTCACTTTGTGTTTTTCACCTAACTGATGCAACTTAGAAGCTATTTGGGCTTTTGAAGAAATAGCTTCAGTCTGCTAAATGTTACCATTTGAATGGGTTGCTGCTTTGCTCTCTTCAAGGTGAAATCATGTGGGAACCCTGCGACACCTGGGAAAGACCCCTGCATGAAGGAGCTGTCCGAGCAAAACGGAGGTGTAACCGCTCAAGACAGCACGTAGCAGATGACCTTGGTAAGATGACCACCAGTCCACAGAGAAGTAGAACAATTCGGCAACAGCAGCAGGTTTCCCAAGGGATCCAATGTCAAGATGAGGAAGGATTACAGGAAACTTCTCCTAACGCTTTATTTTCCTTCCTGGAGCTCTGGGAGAGGGCTCAGTAACTCGGTGAACAGGTCAATAGCTACTTACACTATAGAGTTACCCACCTCCCTCATTATAACTCATGCCGTGCCTGCTCTTTTCTAAACCTTTTGTCAGAATATTTTAAGCTTTTTGCTTTCAAAAGCTTGCAACTCTCAGTTGAGTCTGGTCTGTGATCCAGTCGTTAATTGAAGGCACCTTGCAACAGTTCTCCTCTGTTGGGGCAGCGGGGGAGGGGGAAGGGGGGTGTCACTCTGAGTCAGAATCAACCCCAAAGCCCCAACAATAGTTGCAAATTGAAGTAGAACATTTTACACCAACATGCCTTTAAAGGGAACCAACTGCCGAATGTCAAGAATAGAAGGATAATTTGGCCAAATAAAATTTACTCTTTGAGATAGAATTTTAACTGAAATAAAACATGTTTACCTCAGTAAGGCCTCGAACTAAAGTGAAAATATAAGAAAAGAAAGGGAAACATTTTTTTTAATGTTTTCATGCTTGGGAAACAGAGAAGAATGGCAATTCTTTAGAGAAGTCAAGCTCTTTCCCAAAACGCCGGTTTTGTCTCCATTTATATTGCAGGAAAACAGAAACAAAACAAACAAAGAATGGCATGAGTTGTCCTGATGACTAAAACTCCTCTCACAGGTGCAGATCCAGAGAAATCACATAAGTGAACTACCGTACATACTCATGTATAAGCTGAGTTTTTCGGCACACTAAGTTAGACGCCTGGGCTGATATTCGGGTTGGCTTATACTCGAGTATATACGGTATGTTGTACCAAACCAAAACCCACTGCTATGGAGTCCATTCCAACTCCAGCATGAGCCATGCAGAACCCAGGACCTGAGAGCGCGCAGCCTTCCCGACTGCACCATGACAGAGAACAGTCTAGCTTGCACAATGTTTCCCTCTCATGTGACGAAGAAAAATAAAGCTTCTTCTTTGTTTTTTGAACGGACACCGCTCCCTTGATTTAAAAATGGATGCCATCCTACAACGTGAAGAGAAAAAAAAAATTTTATTCCTAGATGTCATTTTTTGCCCTAGGTGAAGGAAAACACACATCTGCAGTGTCCTTGAGATCATCTTAATCTTTTCAGTAGGGTCCCATGGTAGGTATCAGTGACACCTCCAGCATCAAACACAGACTTTTAATACAACGTGAGTTGTTCTTAACACGTGTGTCAGTGTTTTGTCTACCAAAGCGCATGTCTCAGCCAAACTGCAATTGCTAGTAATGGATCATAGTGCCCCTGCAAGGCCAAGGAGGTCACTGATGTAGCTAGCGTCCTGTCCAGAGATGTGAGGATGCCTGTGTTAGTGTAAGGAGCTTGCTTAAGATCTAAGGTGGGCCTTCTATCTCATGAAAGACTTCATAGGATACATATTTAGATATGAAGAGGGTTTGCTTGTCATCCCTACCTCCTCTTCAGCCTACCAACATCACGCACTGAAATCATATTTGGAAAAGAAAACTCAAAAGCAAAGCATTAAAATATAAATTCACAGACACGGCACAATGTGTTGCATGGAGCGATCACTCCATCTCGACCACTGAAGGCGTTCCATACTGACTCAAAATCTGCATTGCAGACAAAAGACCTCTGCCCCGACAATACCTCTGCCAGCAGAGAGTGGGAAACCCCTTCATTTCTGGGGTACTTAGATGACTTTATTTCAACTTGAAGCTGGATAAAAGTGGAGGGGTGGAATCCAACCTGTCAATCAGGTCACGGTCTGATAAGGCTTCCTTGGTGGGGGTTGAGGGGTGACCTTCTTTTAACCCTTGACCTTCCTGCTTGCTAAGACTCTACCACTGACCCGGAGAACTTCAGGAGACTGGCTGTATGTCCAAGAACGTTGGATCCACAGGATTCTGCAGGCACCAGCCTGTGCTCTTCCTGCACTTGGCATCACTGCATGTGGCTCCGTGAGTCTGAAGAGGGACTTACGGACCTGTATCAGAGCTAAGGACTTGAGTTGACTGGACTTGGATGTGTTCTTGATCTGTAATAACTTCTTGATATAAAGCTCTTTCTTGTAGGCGTGTCACTGGATTTCTTTCTCTCATCACCATGTACAGAAATCAGCCTCAAAGATGACAGAGAATACAATTGATAACTAAAATAAACAATAATTATAAATAATCACAAGCGCCATAAATAAAGGGAAGAATCGTAATAAATAGCTGGTCACTTCTTTTTCAAGAAGCCATGCTCAATTCTGACTCATCGAAATCTATGGACAGAATAGAACCACCCTGTGAGTTTCTGAGGCTGTAAATCTTTATGGAAAAAAGAAAGCTTCATATTTTTCCCTGAGAACCACCAACTGGTTCCAATTGCTGACCTCGGGGTTAGTCCAACTCATAACGCACTGCGCCACTAAGGCTCCTCTCTTCCTTCCAGGGAACCATCAATTAGTGTTTCACAAACTTTAGCAATGGAACCTTTTATTCAAACAGATCGTTTGTGAATATTTGATTTACTTATTATCTGATCTAACAAAATGACTCTTTGCAAAGACTAGATACTCATTTTCTGGAACATGAAACTCTTTTTCAATGTTAAGAAGAAAACATTGTGCATCCCGAAGGTTTGGAATAT